GCCGCCCCCAGGCGCGTCTAATTTTTTTTAAACGTTCGGCGAAGTTTGGTTAAATACGACTAAATTACGACAAACTTTGGCATATATTACACATGTTCGCGACGTGTTACATAGCAAATATAACTAAAACAAGAAATCGCTAAACGAGGAGTAGTCGCCTCGTCGCCGCCGCCGTCGTCATCGGCCTTCTCCTCCTTGACGCGGCCGTTCCTGCTGGCCCCTGCCCGGCATCGCCATGGCGGACTGGTGGCGACGGCGGCGGGGCATCGTCGTCGCTGTCGTCGAGGACGACGACTCCTCCTTCTTCGCGGCCCCAGCGGCGCTGCTCGAAGCGCCGCAGGGCGGCGACCTGGCGCTCTCTCTCCATCTTCAGGAAGTCCTTGCGCGCCCATTTCAGGGCCGCCTCGTCGTCGAGCTCAACGTTGCTGGGCTCTGTCTTCACGGTGGGGAGCCCCGGCTCCGTTTTTCACCGGCGCTAGCCCCGCCTCCGTCTTTGGCTTGACGAAGCGCGGAGGAGCCGACGAGGGGGCGCGCCGGCCGCCCTAGTTGATGACGATGCCGGCGCTGCGAGTGCGCCGGCCGAGCGGCGTCTCCACCGCGGGCTCGGCCTTGACGCCGAGCAGCGCCGGAGAACCAGAGGAGTGGAAGAAGATCGCGACGAGGAGTGGGAGGAGGAAGACGAGGAGGTGACGAACCTCCTAGGCATCCATTGCCCGGCGTGTCGGCGGTGGGCCGGGGCCGCCGGGGGAGGGTATGCCAATGGCGGGTCGTTGCCGCCCTCAAGGTGCGCCAGCACGCCCTCGAGCGTGCGGCCGGGGACGCCCCACCACACGTGGCGCCCCTCGCTGTTCTTCGTGCCGCCCACCACCGGCACCCCGTTGGCGGACGCCAGCCGCTGCTCCTGACGGCGCTGGAAGTACTCCGCCCACGCCGCGTGGTTGTCGGCGACGTACTGGGGGAGGGCGAGCTGCTCGTCGGTGAGGGAGGCGCGCACGAGCTCGACCTCGGCAACGAAGTAGGGGGGCGCACCACGGCGTTGAGCAACGGGGGAACGGGCACTCCCCCGTTGCTGAGCCTCCACCCCGTCGGCCCGGCGTGCATGTCCGGCGGCGCCGAGACGTTGGCCTCGAACAGGAGCCACGATTCCTGTTCGTGCAGCGAGCGGCGGCCGAAGCCATTGGCCACCGCAGCGTCGCTGGGGAAACTGCGACCATAGGGCGCACAGGAGAGGGAGAGAGGGGGGGCTCGGCAGCGGCGCACGGGAGAGGGAGAGGGAGGGCTCGGCGGCGGTGTACGGGAGAGGGAGAGCTCGGCGGCTAGGGCTGGTGTGGCCAGAGGCAAGGGAGGCCACCGGCTTAAATACCCGTGCCTGTGTGTACGCGTGGCTGGAGGGGAGGCGTCGCCGCGCCGCCCCGTGACGCGCCGCCCGTGAGGAATCAATGGCAAGGCTGACCGGCGGCGGCGCGGCAGCCTTGGCATTGATTCCCGCGGGAACCGAGACGATGAGGGCGACGAAGCGCCCGTCTCGCTGACTCGGCGGGCCCGCGGCTGCTTCGCACGAAAACCACTCGCCCCGGCGCCTCCGGACGCCCCCTAGCGCGCCGGGTTCGACCTGGGTCAGCCGGCGCTGATTTCGGCCCAGGCCGGCGAAAATCGGGCTCCTGGGGCGCGACTAGGACGTTTTTTTGACGCCGGCGCGAAAAAAACGCATGAAAAGGCCGTTCTGGGGGCGCGGCTGGAGATGCTCTAAGTTTCCCGTATATGCCGGTGAGATGCCATCCTCACTTGCACATCCATGAAGCAAACAGATTTCAGGTTTTTCCCATGTTACATTGCCCTTTGGGTTTGTATTGTTGCGGTTTTCAAAAGACAATGTGCAGTTAAATGCTTCTGACCAGAGAGGCCTCACTCGCAGGTCGGAGCGTACCACCAGTAATTACTAACACTGTTGTAGTACTTTCACGTCTTTGAGTTCTCTGCGTTCAGTTATCTCTCATCACCAGCATCACTCATACGTACGGTCATACCATTTGGGCCGGTAACGTCGCGAACAGGTTGCACCGGCAGACCGGGCACGTCGAGTGCTCGTGGAGCCACATGTCGACGCACTGCTGGTGGAACATGTGCAGGCACACCGGCATCCGCTTCACCGCGTCCCCCTTCTCCACCTCCCCGAGGCAAATCGTGCACTCCGACCGGCAACCGCCCTCCGGCTGCTCGTACGCCGGGATGTCATACGCCATCACCGCTCGCGCGCCGCCATGCACCGGCGGCTCCCGGGCCAGCACGGACATGTGACTCGGTGTCTGGTCCAGAAACTGCGGCAGAGCGCCGCCGCCGCCGCTTCGGCGGGCACGCACGCACCGCCACCGCAGGCAGAGAAGCCGGCCCGCGCCACGAACTGCCCCAGGGATGGAGGCCAGGCACCGACTTAGCGCCGACAGCTGGAAGAGGTCGCCGCAGATGGCCGTGCAGACGCCGGCCGTGACGCTGACCCAGCAGAGGAGGAAGACGGAGGCCTCGAGGATGGAGCCCTTGCTGTGGGGCTTCCGCGCCAGGTTGACGAACGCGTAGACGATCATGGCCGTGCCGCCGATGCAGACGGTGTTGGCGATTGCCAGCAAGCACGCGCGGAAGAAGCAGTCCATGGCCGTGGCCTCTCGTGTCTTGATTTGACCGTGGAACTCGCCAGCTAGCTGCAAGAGTTCCAATGCGTACAGACGAAGCAAGCAACGAGCTCACCATAGGAGGAACCGAGGAAAGAGAGAAAACTAACCAAGCGGTTGTTGTTGTTGTATAGTACGATGAAATGTTGTGTATATATTTTAATATGGCCGGCAGCATTTCTACGGCGACCTTTTACATTTCGAATGGCGCACAGGCTGTTTTGTTACCTCAACGGTGGAGAGTAACATGCACATAGGCGACCTTTTACATTTAGAATGGCGAAGAGACCTTTCACATTTAGAGGCCGTTCGAAATCTCTTCACTATGTAACTCCGCTGAAGAGCGGAGCGGTATTCGGCGGAATTTTGACGAGCACCCAACGCCCACTCCGCTCCCTGGCAAAAGGAGTGGAGTATTGCCAAACATAGCCTTAATATACATCATTAGGGCCTTTAAAGTTATCTCGTCGGTTTTTGTTTCCATATAAAATCTCATTAAAATCACCGAAAACAATCCGCACGTTACATCATGTGCGGTCAGTGTTTTCCGGTTTTTTCATCGGCAAGACCCTAGAAAATGCATGGATTGTTAGACATCAACGGTACTTGTCATGCATGCTTGCCATGGTCACCATAGAAAATAGGTAAGATTTTAATTTTTTTGTTTAAAATAGAAAACTGAAAATAAATATGTGAAATTAAGAAGTTAATCAAATACAACAGACCATCTTCCATTTTTCGAATTTTAAAACTCTCAAAAGAAATAAAAGAGATAAATTATATATGATTTTAAAGTTGTTATTTACAATAGAAAACTGAAAATAAATATGTGATTTAAGAAGTTAAATCAAATACAACATATTATGTTGCATTTTTTGATATTTAAAATTGTCAGAATAAACGAAAGAGAAATATAGATTTGATTTTAAAACATTTCAAATTTAAGAAAGAAAATAAATATTTGTTTGAATAATTGAAATAGAACACATGAAAATAATAAAAAGTGAACATGTTTTGCGCACGGGCGAGGCATGCGTGGGACTGCCCACCCGAATTGGACCCAAGCAATCGGCGTGCGGGCGAGGCAGGCGTGGGACGGCCCACCCGAATTGGGCCCAAGGTAGCGGCGCGCCGGGCACAGCCGTGGGTTGCTGGGATTTTAGTCCCACCTCGCCAAGCGAAGGGAGCTTGCACCGGTTTATATACCGGGGTGAGCTCTCCCTCTCAAGTTCCTATGTAAAGCGGGCATCACATTGCCCAACCCGGTCTGTCCCTGCCCCATGGGGCCCACTAGCTGTATATTTGCAATCGCGGCGGGCCTACATCCTAGCCCAATAAACGATTGGGTTTCTAGTCGTATGCAGACCATTAAATTGTGAATTATGTAGCTAGTGGACAGACATTTTTATCTCTTATTTATTTTTTGAATTTGTCACATGGCACTCTAAAATATAAAGAATTGTCAAGAATATAACACAACATTATTTCATACATTTCAGAATTTAATAACTGTTAGAAAAATGAAAGAGAAAAAATATATACTATTTAAAATTATCTCAAACATATAACTAAGTGAAATAAATGAGAACATATTATCTTCCATTTTTTGAATTTTAAAACTGGCAGAATAAATGAAAGAGGAAAAATAGATTTGATTTCCAAAATTTTCAAATATAAAAGAGCAAATAAATATTTGCAGTCAACTTGCAGCAATGGACATGCTGGTGTATTTGACCATGTATAACAAAATTGGGGTCATTTGGAGATGATCCAAAAAATCACCTTTCATAATTGAGACCAAATGGTCCCTTTCTGGTGTGGTGATTTTTTTGACCTCCTCCAAATGAAATTAAATTTTGCACACATGTTCTCCTACACAAACATAACAAGGTTTTCAAGGTTTTACAATTTTTTGAATTTTTTTGAATTTATACTGCCATGTAGACTGACTGTTGAAGAAATCGGTCTATACCTTAAGGAGACATTGTAAACTAAATCTATTTTGAAATTTTCCTCCATAGCCATGTTTGGCACATGTATTTGACCATGTATAACAGACTTGGGGTCATTTGGATTTTGTCCAAAAAAATCACCTTTTATAAAAAAACTGGCTTAAGTGAGACCAAATGACCCCTCTGCGGTGTGGTGATTTTTTTGACCTCCTCCAAATGAACTTAAATTTTGCACACATGTTCTCCTACACAAACATAGCTAAGTTTTCAAAGTTTTACAATATTTTGATTTTTTTGAATTTATACTGCCCTGTAGACTGACTGTTGAAGAAATCGGTCTATACTTTAAGGGGACATTCTAAACTAAATCTATTTTAAAATTTTCTTTGATGGTCATGTTTGGCACATGTATTTTACCATGTATAACAGATTTCGGGTCATTTGGAGATCGTCAAAAAATTCACCTTTTATAAAAATTCACTTTTGGAAGATGGGCACAATCTTTGATTTGGTATGCTTTGCAAATGGGGCACATCATGTTGCACATGGACACAACATGGGAACTGTATGCAGCATGTGTTATCACTGAAGCAACATTGAAGCAGCCACTATGATCATTGCATCATTAGAATATAAACACTGAAACATAGCATAGCTAACCAGATTCCAGTGCATCTAGACAATACATATAGTTCACAGACATACGACAATGCTTAAAGTCTGCCATACTCCAGCTAGAACTACCTTCCAATAGTTCACAACCACATGGACTAGCGCAAAAGTAAAACATCATCAACTATACTGATGATGAGTAGCACTTCCAGCTGCACAGAGGGTTACTAGTGAAGGAAATATGTCCTAGAGGCAATAATAAAGTTGTTATTTATATTTATATCATGATAAATGTTTATAACTCATGCTAGAATTGTATTAACCGGAAACTTAGTACATGTGTGAATACATAGACAAACAGAGTGTCACTAGTATGCCTCTACTTGACTAGCTCGTTAATCAAAGATGGTTAAGTTTCCTAGCCATAGACATAAGTTGTCATTTGATAAACGGGATCACATCATTAGGGAATGATGAGATTGACTTGACCCATTCCGTTCGCTTAGCACTTGATCGTTTAGTATGTTGCTATTGCTTTCTTCATGACTTATACATGTTCCTATGACTATGAGATTATGCAACTTCTGAATACCGGAGGAACACTTTGTGTGCTACCAAACGTCACAACGTAACTGGATGATTATAAAGGTGCTCTACGGGTGACTTCAATGGTGTTTGTTGAGTTGGCATAGATTGAAATTAGGATTTGTCACTCTGATTGGCGGAGAGGTATCTCTGGGCCCTCTCGGTAATGCACATCACTATAAGCCTTGCAAGCAATGTGACTAATGAGTTAGTTACGGGATGATGCATTACGGAATGAGTAAAGAGACTTGCCGGAAACGAGATTGAACTAGGTATTGAGATACCGACGATCGAATCTCGGGCAAGTAACATACCGATGACAAAGGGAACAACGTATGTTGTTATGCGGTTTGACCGATAAAGATCTTCGTAGAATATGTGGGAGCCAATATGAGCATCCAGGTTCCGCTATTGGTTATTGGCCGGAGACGTGTCTCGGTCATGTCTACATAGTTCTCGAACCCGTAGGGTCTGCACACTTAACGTTCGGTGACGATCGATATTATGAGTTTATGTGTTTTGATGTATAGAAGGTAGTTCGGAGTCCCGGATATGATCACAAACATGACGAGGAGTCTCGAAATGGTCGATACATAAAGATCGATATATTGGACGACTATATTTGGACGTTGGAATGGTTCCGGGTGAGTTCGGGCATATACCAGAGTACCGGGAGGTTACCGGAACACCCCAGGAGGTATATGGGTGTTATTGGGCCATAGTGGGAGAGAAGAGAGGGAGGCATAGGAAGGGGCGCGCTCCACTCAAGCCCAGTCCGAATTGGGTGGAGGGCCGGCCCCCCTTTCCTCCCCCCTCTCTCCCCCTTCCTTCCACTCCTAGTCCAACTAGGGAAGGGCGGGAATCCTACTCCCGGTGGGAGTAGGACTCCCCATGGGGTGCGCCATAGGAGGGCCGGCCCTCCCCCTCCTCCACTCCTTTATATACGGAGGAGGGGGGCACCCCATAGACACACAAGTTGATCATTGATATCTTAGCCTTGTGCGGTGCCGCCCTCTACCATAATCCACCTCGGTCATATCGTTGCAGTGCTTAGGGCGAAACCCTGTGCCGGTAGCTTCATCATCACCGTCATCACACCATCGTGCAAACGAAGCTCTCCCTCGACACTCTGCTGGACCGTGAGTTCGTGGGACGTCACCGAGCCGAACGTGTGCAGATCGCGGAGGTGCCATACTTTCAGTACTAGGATCAGTCGGATCGTGAAGACGTAGGACTACATCAACCGCATTGTCATAACGCTTCCGCTTACGGTCTACGAGGGTACTTGGACAACACTCTCCCACTCATTGCTATGCATCACCATGATCTTGTGTGTGCGTAGGAAATTTTTGGAATTACTGCGTTCCCCAACAGTGGCATCCGAGCCAGGTTTATGCGTAGATGTTATATGCACGAGTAGAACACAAGTGAGTTGTGGGTGATAATAGTCATACTACTTACCAGCATGTCATACTTTGATTTGGCGGTATTGTTTGATGAAGCGGCCCGGACTGACATTACGCGTACGCTTACGCGAGACTGTTTCTACCGACGTGCTTCGCACACAGGTGGCTGGCAGGTGTCAGTTTCTCCAACTTTAGTTGAATCAAGTGTGGCTACGCCCGGTCCTTGTTGAAGGTTAAAACATCACATACTTCACGAAAAAATGTTGTGGTTTTGATGCGTAGGTAAGAACGGTTCTTGCTCAGCCCGTAGCAACCATGTGAAACTTGCATCTACAAAGTAGAGGATGTCTAACTTATTTTTGCAGGGCATGTTGTGATGTGATATGGTCAAGTCATGATGCTAAATTTTATTGTATTAGATGACCAT